GGCGGGCCGCCCGGCCCGCGCCGCCAGTCGCAGCCTTGGCGCGGGACCTGGAGAGGCCGCGCAGGGCCCGGGGAGGCCCGCGCAGGACCCGGGGAGGCCCGCGCAGGACCCGCCGCCAGTCCAGGCCTCTTATTCTTCATAGCTGTCTGCCCAGTCAACATCTTGCACGTCTAGTCACTCCTTAGTATCTTCTCTGAGAACCTGAAAGGCTGCACCTGGGCTGGCCTCTGGTACCAGAGCAGCTGTCAGCAGTGACTTCCGCTCTTGCCCTGCTTTCACGCTCCCTCCTCGGGGCAGCAGCACTCAAGCAGTGGGATCGAGCTATACCTGGCCCCTCCAAAACTGTGATTTTTGGGATGAGCAGTTGGCGTAATGGCTGTGTCGCTGAACTCCCATGTAGTTGACCATGGCTCAAGTCCTGACCCGGTGGCCTAAACTCACGCTGTGTGTGCGTGCCCAAGATCCCGAGAGGAGAATGGAGGAGAAGGGATTGTGGCATGGCCATCTCCTCTTGGGGGTGATTTCTCACTTTCTGTCTCTCTGTCTCTTTCTGTCTTTCTGGTGCGTGCACGTACCCTATAGTAAAAATCTCTAAAAAAAAAAAAAAAACACAACTCTGTTATCCTTGTCTTCAGCCTTGATGGCGTGGTGGTACTGGTGCCTCGTCAGGAGTTGCTGCTGTAGGCTGTAAAGGTCCAGACCATGGGTCCTGGAGCTGGATTGTCCTTTTAAATTCTGACTCTGTATGATCTTGTGTGAAGTACTTAACCTCTCTGTACCCTTACAGTTGTACAAAACGTGTGTAAGGGACCAGCAATTGGTGTAACGGCTATGTTGCTGGACTCCCATGTAGTCAACAGTGGTTCGAGTTCTGGACCCAGTGGCTTAAACTCATGCCGGGCGCGTGTGCATGCATGCCCGAGATCAGGAGAGGAGAATGGAGGAGAAAAGATTGTGGTGAGGCCATCCCCCCTGGGGGGTGATTTCTCGCTTTCTGTCTCTCTGTCTCTCTCTGTCTTTCTGGCGAGCACACGCACCCTATAGCAAAAACCTCTCCAAAAAAAGAAAACAAAAAACCAAAAACAAAAACATGTGTAGATAGCAGGTACCTCATAGACTTATTTTTCAGAAATGCTAACCCTGTCCCTGCTGGTGCATTCTCTGCCTCACAAGCATGTGTTTACTGGGCCAGTCCTCTGTCCTACACCTCATTCCTCTGCATGCCTCAAATAGCTCCCTGTGGTTTTTGCCACTCCTTTGAGTGACAGGCCACTTGGTACAGTGGAACCACCCTAGTGCCAGGCCCAGTTCTGCCACTTCCACCAATAGGGTCTCTCTAGGTAATTTTCTCCCTACTGTTCCGTTTCGTTATCTGTAAATTCAGGAACCTGAACTTCTCTTTGGTAGAGGTTGGACCTTGTTTCTAGCCTCGGATTCTATGAAAGGAAAGTATTCTCCAGAGACAAACTTCACCTTCTTTTATTCTGTCCATCAAATGTACATCTTACAAGTATTCTTGGCTCAGCTCTGTGCTAGGCACTGGGGATTTGAAAGTGAAAAGACACAGTCTTGGGGCCTGCAGGTGACGTAGTGGTTAAGGCACTGGATTCCCACATGGCTGACCATGGTTCAAGTCCCAGAACCAGTGGCTTAAAAAACTCATGCCGGCGCATGTGGGTGCATGCCCAAAATTTTGAGAGGAGAATGGAGGAGAAGGGATTGTGGCCTGGTCATCCCTCCCCGGGGCGGGGGGAGGTGATTTCTCACTTTCTCTCTCTGTCTCTTTGACAAGTGCATGTACTCCGTAGCAAAAATCTTTCTCTCTAAAAAAACAAAAGGCATAGTCTTCACCCTGGGATTATACAGAGTCTTCCAAAGGAGACAAAAGCCCAGAGATAATTCCAATACTATGAGAGCTTTATATTGTTCTAGATAGTTACTTAGAGATGAAAGACTTCTGTCTTGATTACTACTAACCTTTTGTGGTGGGAAGTGGGAGAGGTACAGGAAATAGTTTACTGATAACGTTTGGCTCAGAGAGAAAGGACAATCTGTTTCAATGTCCCCTGTTTAAAACGAAAAATAGAAAAGAAAGTATATTTATTTTCATTGAGAAAAAGAAACTAAAAACTTGGAGGTTAAACAAATAGGAAAAGTTTATTTTTCTTATGGGTCATGAGGCCAGTTAATGATTAGTAAGACCCAAGAGGGCCGTTGGTGGGAGGGTGGGGTATGTGAACTCTTCGGCCTTAGGATTTTCTTTCAGACCAGCCTGAGACTTCCAGCTCTGCGATGCCCTCAGGCTTTTGGGAGAGGTGCTTCTGGTTGTGGGGGCTCCTTCTCTGGCCCAGCATTGGAAGCTCAGGTAAGCCGGGGCTCAGGCCTTGGGTGGAACTGACTTTGGGCAGTGACTGTATTTCTTCAGCTGTCTACTTAGGCAGTACTAACCATTGGAAGGTCCCCTAAAATCCTTTTGCCTCTCCTGAGGTGAATTTAAAACAAGGGAGAAAAACCCTCCCTGCTATCGTAATGAGAAAGATTCTAAACAGAATTCTTTCTTAGGTTACCAAAATTGAACTTCCCCTGCTGACTCATCTTTTCAAAACCCTTTCACCTTGCACACGAGTCAAGACGACAGAAGAACGTAAAGTTTGATTAATTCAAAAGAGTCATTTTTACCCTACAAATATCTACTTTCCCAAGACATGTTTAATTTTAAAATTTAAATTTCCCAAACTGATAGCAAGTTTGTCATTTAGGTTATTAGATGTCCTTTCTAATCCTGCCAACCAGCCACAGCTCAGGTTCATCATCTTTGAGCTGGATTATGGAAACCAGCCCCTGCTAACCACAAATGCCCTTAGAAAAATTCCCCTCCGATGTCATTTGCATTGTATCTTTCCCCTGGTAAAGAACTGCCCCATAGCTCACCTGACATGACAAATTTAACATCTCCACGTCACCCTGTGTGGTGAAGACTCCCTCCTCCCCAGCTGTGGCAGCGCCCTCAGAAAAGTCCCCTCTTTCTCACCAGCAGAACGCTTTTCTGTGTTCTCCACAGATACTTCACTCTCATTCCTCAGTTTCAGAATGTGTTCTTCCTTTTGTTTGGAATCGCTCATACTACCTTGGGTTAATTTCTGGCCTTCACATCTTCCAAGAGGGCTTCCATGATTCATGTCTCCCTTGCAACACTTCATTCCTCTTCTGTTCGGCACCCCTACCAGCTCCAAAGTTCAGTCGGCACGAGTACACTCTCTACCTGCATTCGTGGTGGCTTTTGAAAAGCACTGCTTAGCTTCAGGTGTGCTCTCTCCTGCCTCACTCACTGGCCCCCAGAAGATGCAGATTCGGGCTTCAGCCTCTTTAGCACACTGAGTCTCATACTCTATATTGGAGCAGATGCTCAGGGGAGGCCATGTGCTGAGCACACAGGGCACAGGTTCTGGGTCAAGCTAACCTGGATTTGAATCCCAGCTGTTTCCTAGTAGCCGGATGGCTTTGAAGGAGAGACTTGTCTTTACCTGTAGTTGGAGATAACCGTCACCAGTCGGACTGCTCGAAGGACCCAATGAGATAATCCATGCACAGCGTCTGACATTTTGCAGTTGCTTATTCTCTGATGATTTTATTACTGTGTGACTGCCTGGGCCGATCGAAGTAGAGGGAATAGGGCGGTCACGAACCACTTGGAGCAAAGATGGGAGGTGTCCCTGGAGGTGCCTAGGAGAGCCATGTGTGCAGCTCAGAGAGGCAGGCCCACGCGGCAGGCCTGCCTTTGCTCCTTGGCTGCTGAGGGGCTGGAACGCATCTGCTAATTGTCCTGATTTGAAGCTTGAGAAGTGGGAGGACCAAAAGCAAATCACCTTCTAACTCTTTCTAGAAGTTCATCTTTCAGAAAGCCTGGGGTCTTCAGGCACAAAGGAAAGGAGCTCAGACATCTTGACCTGGAAAACAGAGCTGGGGTCCGGACAAAGCTGATCTAGTTCCTACCTTGTGCATGGGAGGCATTCTGTTGCAGAATCCCTGGTCAGGAGGAGGCCTTATAATTACTTGTTAGCAGGGCCTCTGGGCCCATGCTCTGCCCCCTGCCTTTGTTTCCCGCTGTCTTTCTCTCCACACCCACCTAGTAAGGTATTTTCTATTTCCCATCCACTTCTCTTCCTTTTTCAGGTTAAGTGAGGATGTCACTGTTAACAGTGACAATATTTATTGAATTGATGTTTCCTGGTCTTGCTTATGGTGTAGTGGTTACATTGCTGGATTCCCACATAGCTGACTGTAGTTTGAGTCCTGGACCTGGTGGCTTCAAACTCATGCTGGGTGTGTGTGTGTGTGTGTGTGCATGCCCAAAATCCTGAGAGGAGAATAGAGGAGAAGGGATTGCAGCATGACATCCCCCCTGAGGGGGACTTCTCTCTCTCTCTCTCTCTCTCTCTCTCTCTGGTGAGCGCACATGCCCTATAGCAAAAATCTCTTTTAAAAATTTAATAAAAAATTAAACAACTTGGTGAATTGGCAGAAAAATAAATGTGTGTGTTTGGGGATGGAAAAGGATAAGCCTATGCCAAAGAGGAAAGAAAAAAGAGCAGAATTGCCTAAATGAAGTCAGTGGAAAGGAGGAAAATGAAGGTAGAGGAGAGAGCAAGGGAAAGGAAAGGGCAAGATCAAATGAACATGAAGGAAGGAGGTCCGGGAGGTCCCAAGGTGCCCGATAATAAAGAGACTCCATTGCACTGGGCAGCCGCTGACCCTATGGGCCTCTGCTTAAGGAGAGGCCATTTTCTTGGGTAGTGGCTGCACGACTTGTCAGAGCACCTACTCCCGTCTTGGTTCAGGACACCTACTCAGAAACTGTTTTAGGGCCAACCCCAAAGCATGCGGTAAAGCCCTGTGCAAATAGAGCTGGATCCCACATGGTTAGCTGCAGCTCAAATCCCGGTCCTGGCAGCTTGAAAAACACACTGGGCACATGTGCATGTGTGCTCCAAATCCTGACAGATTGTAGAAACAGAGACAAGATCATGGCCTAAATATACCTCACTGGGGTATACTTTCTCTCTGTCCCTCTTTCAAAAATCTTTGGTAAGCACAAGTGCTCTCTGGCAAATTTTCAAAATTAAAAAAAAAAAAGTTGGCTTTAGGATCCTTCTGGTTTGCCTAGGGATTTGTGGCCTGCCAAAAAAGGAAATGTTGTCCCCAGGACCTAACGCTTCAGCTGGGAGTTAACTGTCCCACAGAGAGATTATCCCAGGGATGCTCCTCTGCCTAGTTCTCCTTTCACAGGGAACCACGTATGGTGGCTACTACTTCTTGGTAACACTTTCCATTTTCTGACAAAAGAGTTTCTTAGACTGGATTCTAAGTCCCTTTCTTTAAATGACCACTTTTTACTTTCCTCTGAGAGGTTATGTTTTATCTGATTTATATTCGTTTAACTGACATAGTCGTCTTTGAGCCCTAGTATTATACTTTTTCTGCCCAGTTTCTTTATACTTTATTCCTTGTATTAACAGGATAAGAAAGCAAAAGTTTCCCTAGTATTGATTCATAGATCATATTTACAGAAAGTTCAGTTCCACAAAGAGTAACAGCGATCTCTTTAAGTGCCATTTTAATCCTTATTTTAGGCTAAGTGCAATAATAATTTAATACAATAAGCCACACCTACAGAAAAGCTGTATATTCTGAACTACAAAAGTGGTTTCCATAGCTACATGTATTTTTAGTCAAGTACACTTTTCACCACGAACAAGTACTTATAAATATGTCAATAAAACACTACTCCAAATGTTTATTCTGCTTATTAAGCAATGCCATTCCCGCTACTAAAAGCATTTATTATTTTAGAAGCTTTACTCTGTTCTGGGAAAATGAGTGAGTTCTCCTAAAATTTAAGAAGTAGTATGTTATAAGCCCTAAAAGGTTTTTTGTGGTTTTTGGAGAGGTTTTTGCTATAGGGCACATGCACGCATTAGCTTAAGCCACTGGGTTTGGGACTCGAACCATGGTCAGCTACATGAGAGTCCAGCAACATAGCCATTATGCCAACTGCTGGTCCTACCCCAAAAGGTTTTAGATCAAAAAAGCCTTCCAACATGGAAGCACTTTTAGTTTATCCAAAAACAAAACAAAACAAAAGAAAACAAAAGCGAACCACTTTTATTATATGAAGAACAGGATATTAAAAGAAATGATCTTTTAAGACAAACATTCTTACAAAAAACTGTGCATTCCAATTTCATCTCTTCAAAGGAAACAGAAACAGTTTGTCATCTCCACTACCCTCTTAGAGTACTGTCTAACGTCTTCAGAATACATTGTGAAGCACACATGTCAGTTATCACACGATAGCTGAAGATGCCATGTGGCCTTCACATAGGAACCAGCTACAGTTTAGCTTGCATGGCACAGAAGTACCGAACATATAAATATTGCTTTATCCTTTACATAGTCATCTTCAGTGGGAACTGCGTCCGGCTTGCAAGGTATTTTAGCTAATGTGTAGTCATTAGAAACGAATCGGTAATTAAATACAGTCATTTAAAGGCAGGCAATTAAAGGCTCAACTATCACTTTAAAATCCAAGACATAAAAAATGCTGCGTTTTTTTCACTTTACATAGCTAGATATCAGTACCTTTACTGTAAAAAAACAGTCATTATATATGGTTTCCCCAAAAGATCATGAAATGTCAGAAAGTACAAAAAAGGGTCGAGATCCATAGTTCGCTTCATCAAATGCTTTCCTAGCTCATTTCAATTCTTCACTCTTAGTAAGCAAGTCTTTAACCCTCGCAAACTTCCTTGGGTCCTTTTGAATCAAAAAATGACATCTTCAACTTGAACTCGATCTTGGCTTCCAGTTGGCACTGCCTTTGAGTCATTTCAGTTATGAACTCTAGGGCAAGGTCTTCAAGAATATCTGTGGACTCAGTGTAAGGATTTGGTCCTCCCCAAACCCATACGGTAATTCTTTAGGAAAAAGTCTCTTTTCCCCTGGCAACCTTCTGCACCTCCTCCAGCGTCTTCAGTTTCTTCTCAAAAGTTGAGTCTTCTTCTTCATCTGCCATCCCCACCCCCAGCTCACTAATTCAAACCTTAGTGTTTTAAACATGTAAATAGTATTATTTTCTCTTTGACTAAATCTTAGATGTATTTCACTGCAAAGGAATATATGAATATATGCGATGTATACCTACTTATCTATATAGGGTTTCTTTCCTGAAATCACAAGAAAATGTTCATAGAATTTACCTTTGTGTAAAGCAACCATGGAAGGGAAAGTTTAAATTTTTTATTTTTATTTTTATTTTTTTCAGTTTTTGCCATAGGGAGCACGTACGTGCCAAAGAGAGTGAGACAG